TGTTGGCAGCGTGCGTGCCGAGGTAACTAATTATTCCCTCCCCCTTAGTATTGATTTTACCGTCGGTTCCGGTATCTTGCGGAAAACAAAAAATATAATCCGTGCGAATGTAACGATGGCGAAAAGAGGATCGGTTGGATGGCTTTTTATCCTCGTTAATCTACGTCGGGCGTGGCGATCGAGACGACTACATCGATCACGAAGTCCACTTAACGTGCATTTTGATAAGTCATTGAGATGTTTATTTCTGGCAGGACATTTTCGCAAAGAGCATATTCCTGTTGAGCGTAAAGCCCTTCTGCGAGATCATAAATTTAACGTAGCGAAATAAACGTACTAATTTTTTTTAATGAAGATTGTGAAGTATAGCATTCAAGTATCAAATTTTTAAAAAATCATTTAATATTATATATATAGACGTTAAAAAAAATGTTAAAATTCTAAACTGATATTTACGTATAATTTACTTGAAATTTGTCAATAGCTTAAATTTTGTATTCCATTTTCACTCCTAATTCACAAATTTTTTTATTCACTTCTTTCAGCTTTAGAAAATACCACAATTAGAAAATTAATGTTATGTTTTCAATAAAACGCGAAATTTGCAAATCCATTTAAGAATTTGTAACAAGAAAAATTACAATTATGATATGCTATATGCAAAGAATTATACATCTAATGTTTGAGAAAATTATCATTTACGACGACAATTTTTCTGCGATTTATCTTCATTTGGAAGAGAAACTATTGTCATGCACACTTGCCAGAGTTGAGTTAATCTGAAAAATTTTCCCAGAAATAACATTGACAGTATTCGCCAATGAGTCTAGTGCCAAAACGATCTCCCGCCGAATTATCGACTTTGGCATTTGTGGCTTGATTGCGGAATTACTCTAAAGTGCTGCTGCGGACGATTTGGAAGAAAGAAAGGAAAGAGAGGAAAGAGAGAGAGAGAGAGAGAGAGAGAGAAAGGAAAAGGAGAGGGAGAGAGAACATGCGGAAATGAGAGAGATCAGCTGGTAGATTGACGGACGGAGAACGAAGGCTGATAGAGAGAGGTACCGATAAATATGGTCGGCGAGCGAACTTCTATCCTTCTATACGTGACGCCCTCGTAGTTCGCATCCTGCACGAATATCTCTTCGGTAATCAAGCTTCTGGCCGCAATTCGGACTAATTAATGGAGACTGATTGCACGGTCTTTTATTGGAATTGACCTCAATGCTGACTTTATATTGTCGCAAGACTTATTTTTCCCATTAATGGAATACTTTGCGTTGATTAAATTAAAGTAAATTCTCCTTAAAATGCTCCTTAATTATTTACTGAGATCGTCAGAAATTAGCGATAACTATTTTGAATATTTTTCTCGCTGATATATACGTTAATTAACATTTTATGATTAAAATTTGAGCAAAATAAAGTATCTTGATTTTGAAACATACAATAAATTAACAATTTAAACTTATAAACTTATACCAATTAAATTAAAACTTATTTATGTAAAAATTATTATTAAAACTTATTATATTAATATTTCTTGTTTCAGAAAAGCATCGTAAAATTCGATGAAGCTACATATATTTAGTTTGTGGACTATAATGATTTTAATTCTGATCAAATCTCATGTTAAGCAAAATAAAGATATCTACTTTAAGAAATCCCGTCTTTATCTGTATTTATTCTCGATATCTGTGCTTGTGTATATATCATGAAAGAAAGTTGAAGGGCTGAAAGATCTAATATAAACAGTAAGTTGCTCTATAATTCTTACTGTAATTTTATGAGATCACGCGATATTTTCTTTCGCGCAATCTATTCTAGAGAGGTGAACGAATTCTTCTATCAAAAGTTGCAATATCCCTCTTAAAAATAGAAAAGTTGTAATTGCGATTTTTATATATTTTTAAATATTTTTTTTCTCAAAATGTAGGAGACTAAAGCTTTTTAATTAAAATTGTATGAAAACTGAGGATTAGAAAAAACTAATACACGTTATTGATTATTTTTATCATGTTAAAAGTGTCGTAAAATAATTTTTAAGGCGACATGAAGTTTAATAATGATTTTGTGATGGAGAAATCAAATTGGATAGGCTAAATTTCGCGTAACTGGCCGAAATTGTTTCATGAGTTGCGAGGCGCTCTATATTGACAAATCGATGAAACTTTCCTCCTACCGACGTACATAATCAAACCATGGACTTTCTCTCCAGAAATATTCAGATACCCTTCAACAACGCAGTTGCATAGTTGTCTGCGTAAAGTTTACGGCGGATCTCGGAGTCGATGTTTCACGGCTAGAATTAACATGCTATAAAGTTTCTACAGGGAATCCGATTACGACCGACTACGGTAAAGTCCCCGCAAATGGATTTGCCATGAAAGTTTCCAAAAACGTTAATCGATTGGTCGCATGGCCAATAATGTTGAGCAAGCTTTGCGTGAGGTGACCCATTTATACTTTCCGGAATGAGGACCAAACTATCCAATCAATGACACGATCATTATTAATGATCGAACGATTTTGCACTATAAATGTGTAATACGTGTATGGTATATTTATTCGTCTGGATATTACGCATAACACGACAAATTTATAATAATGATTAAAATAAATAAAAGTGACATGTAATATATTGGACATATTTGAAATGTTTGATTAACTATGTATAATTAACGTAGAATAAATAACGAAAATGAAAATCTCCATAGAAATAACGTTAAAAATAATATGTTCTGGATATAAATTAAATACTTAATAATTTATCATTTAACTAAATGCGTTAAACATTCAAATATTTAAATATTTATATATAGTACAAACGCATTTTTCAATCATATAATCATCTCTTAAATTATAAATAAATATACTTTACAGCTCTTAAAAAAAAAACATAATTCAAATTAAATTTCAATAGCGTTTCATAGAAAGTATATTTTATCATCCTTCCTTATGTGAAATCATAATTTTATCAGAGCACATCTATGCAGGATTTGTCTGTCAGTTCTATATCGATATGCTTCAAAGTCTAAAATCTATATAGATATAAATGCTTCTTTGCGAACATTTTTCGTTCTTTTGGAAGAAAGAAGATTTCATCGATTGTAATTTTTCTGTAGATTCGACAAAATAACGCTTTTATCGACAATTTCCTTTTTTTAATACTCAACAATGTCCCATTTGGCTGAGTAATATAAAACAAGTAATATAAAACAGTAAGAATAACATATTATATTAAGCTACATAGTTTTGCTATCAGATCAATGTGCTGGGATATGGTTACCGCGGAAGTTCGATGCGCTTTCTAACAGTCCACGGTTGCATAGTCGAACAGTCGAAGAGAAGTTTACGCTACGTTTGAGGCTAAATTGGATCACGAATTCTCGAAGTTTCCACCGGAAAATCCTGTGAGGATTTCCTATGAACCAACAGTGCAAACTGAACAAACTTGCGAACAAAAACGGGGTTTAGATTCTGTACTATATTTTCGATTATTAAAAAATTAAGTCTCTCAAGAAAGCGAGGAGATATCAGAAGTAACGTACTTAGTGATGAGTTAAGTTTCTATTTATACTTATTTTTTATTTAATAATTTATTTCATTTTATTCACGAAACATGAAAATAGCTCTCAAATTGCGCGTATTTTGCCTTCGAATATAAATTATTTCCAACAGTACGCACAAGAGTGAAAATCACTATAATATAAATTACTCCTATATATATGTTGATTCTTTTCATAGATGTACAATCTCGTTAACCAAGCGAAGAAGTTAATTTGCTACCGTAAAAAAATTCTCACCTCCGTTACAAATCTCTCTCTTTTTAACGAGCGATTATTTTTATTTTCTGCACATATCATACATTATTATGACGCATAACTGCAACGCCATCAAAGCAGAATGGTACGCCGAGAATGCGAAAGCTCATAGTTAATGCACTATTCAGCCCACGCTAACCCACCCTGCAGAAGAATGTCCGAAATTGTTCGCATGTCAAAAGCCAAAACTTTGTAGTATTACGGCACGGTTCTCTATTTTGCAAGTTTATGCAATGCATATATATATATATATATATATATATATATATATATTTCTATTTCTTTTTTCAAAGATGGAAGCACAAAAGATCGTAGACGTATTACGAATTTTCAAGCTTTTGTGCTGAATGCGTTGTGCGTTTCAAAGTTATTCTTTTGTCAAAAAGGTCAGTTCGCTTTTCCCAGTTGGCCTTTTTCAACGTGTTGATTTACGACGCCATTTTACACGCGAAAACTGTCTTTTGTGATATTATGAGGAAAAATATCTCTGTTATGAAAATCTGTGCGCCTTATATATTCATGTTCACAATATTACAAAATACTTAATCTTTATGTACAATTTTTAATTTTATACTGATAATTTCTAAAAGAAAAAAAAAATAAAAATATATTTCATAATAAATATCTTTCATGTAGAAACTAATGTTATTACACGCAAGCACAGAACTACAATATATATAATAATGATATATATGTAATTTTATTTAAATTTCGATAAAATTCGTATATGTAAATTCGTATTATTTTCAAAATAAATCAATCTGTTTTATTAAAGTTAAATTACAAACAATATTTTTATATTAAAATATACTACGTAAACAATTTTTACTTATTTTTTAATTTTTAAGTAATCGAAAGTAATAAAAGAAATCTTTTATGAATATATAAATACAATTCATTATTATATCATAAAATGAGACATTTTCATATGTCTTAATAGAATATAAATTTTTTTTATATAAAATTAAAAATATTTTACGTAATTCATTATTTTTTTCTTTTAAAAATATCAATCAAATAATTAATTGAATATTATAACTATATAATATAATTATATAATAATTATATATCGTGAAAAGTTTATTTTTTAAAATAGTCTTCATTTTCATAAATTTCAGAGAGCACAATTAATAATGATATCGATAATGATATTAATTATCGGATTATTTTAGCACTTACCTTATTGCCATGCTCTTTGCCTTCAAATGATGCCATCTCTGGTTCATTTCATCCAATCGACGTTGCAGCATAACAGCGTCATCTTGACTTGCTAGTGAGCTCAATAATTTTCGTCCGGTGCCGTTCAAAGATGCGTAACCGTCTCGGTGCGTTTCAATTTCCGACTGCAGATCCTGCAACAAGCAGGAGGATGCCTCCTTAGATCCTTAAGAACAAGATTAAAGAACTCTACGAAAAAGGCACTATTAATTAAAAATATGTACTAGAGGATATAATATTTTATGCTTTAAGTAAAATATATCTAATGTTTATTTATTTATATAATATATGTATTTATTTTTTTAATAATTCTCCCTCTCTAAAAAGCAATTAAATAAGTATAAATACTTGTAAAAATAATCAAAACTTTTTGTCAGCTGACAGATTTTATATCATTTATTTATTCATTCCTTACTATTTCCGAAAGGGATTAAAAACTAACTTTTTATTTCTATTTTATAATAAGAAAGACTTAAAATGACAATCTTTTTATTGATACAAATTAATATATGCTTGATTATAATAATGAAGAATTTCATTAACACATCATCATTCCTTCCAAAAATTGTTCATAAAATATGCTAATTTGGTAATAATTTGAGCGGATTTCTGGAAAAGCAAATTAAATGTAAAAAATACAGAACTTTTTCGATATTTTTTAGAGAATGCGGGCCTTTTTATGGAAATAGGGAGTATTCGTGCGGCAGAGAGAGAATTCGTGGTGTTTCGTCATCGCGATGACGTGAATTGCAGTCTGCGCGTGGATAGAAATGATTTATATACGAGTCTTCCTGTACAACGGTGGTATACGAGTACGTCGACGCCGACATGCAATGCATGCGCCAATGAAAATAAATCGGCGCCGATGCGAGTGAATTAAGAAATATTCGCTGGCGTCACGGCAAGAACAATAGGATTTGTTTTGTTCCTTTTAAAGCAGCTATGTATGGTTCGCAGTTACGTGCAAATCTGGTCTTACTTTATTCCATATTTTTCATCAATATAAAATCAGATGAAAGAGTATCCATATTTCTCATCAATATAAAATCAGAGTTTCACTAACCCAAATATTAGAAGAATCACAGAATTTCTCTTCGCAGAATGTTAAAATGATATTTATAAAATATTAATTGATCTAAAATTACAAGATATATTGAACTAATAAATAATAAGTATTTTTGTAATTGATAATTTGTAATTTCTAAAAGCAATTTCAATAAGCGCAATTAATTACTAATTGGGAGCAATCAATTTATGTTCATAATAAAGTTATTATTATTATAAAATTATTATATAATTAAGGTTTAATTGATGATGTTAATAGTTTGTTTTAATATTGCATGCTGGCATATGCATATTATTTTATTCAGATTCGTATAAATATTATTCTCTATTACAAGTATACATTTTATACTTTAAATAATGTAAATTAAAATAATATATAATTTTATGAAACAAAGAATTTTCAATTTCGTCATAGAGATTATGTGTTATATTAATAGTAAAAGTAAAAGAGAAGAGTAAAATATATATAAAAAATGCCACACTGACGTTCGTTTAATTCGGTGTCAGAAAATATTGGAAAATAAAAAACTATATAAAAGAAAAACGTTCTCTAGAGAAATAACATGCAATAGCAACGACACTACAAAGTCCATGAAATATCTCTCGTTTCCGTTTGTCGCGGCGTTGTCTTAATCTAAAACAGTCTGCCTGTCAACAACGGTCGCACTCTCTTTTCAAATTCCCCAATTCCTCTCACCTTCTCTCTCCCCGTTCCCAACCCTCTTCAATTTTTGACACGCACGAATTGAAGGCTGCAATCTCGAGAACGACAATCTCTGGCCCAGGACTCGATTCCCATCTGGGTCGATGATCGACGGGTCAGAGCGAGATATTTTTCAGCTGCAGTTTCCGCGCGAATTGACGCCGGTGACACCCGGTGTGCATCGCCGAGACACGCGTAATGAAAAAAAAAGGGATAGATGTGGCACTAGCTTTCTCTCGGGAAAAAAAAAGAAGTAAATATATCGACGACGGTACCGCTTGCGCTGGAGAACTCGCTCCGGAAAATTGGGCACATCGATCAAACTGGCTCCTACCCAGCGACAGACGGATCGTACGTCCGTCGAGTGCTCGAATTGGTAACGTTTAATTGGCGCTCTTGGTGGCAGCTTGTGCGGAAGCTAATTTCGTTTAAAACTCGACGGGCGTGCATGGAGTTGCTTTACACTTCGGTCCTCGAAATCCACAGATTACGAATTGCTAGCTCGAAATAAACATCTATCCGTGACAATCAACAATAAATATTACGATGCCGGATAATATTTTTCATGTATTCCAACCGTATTGTGTAGCATAGTCGCGTTATTCAATGTGGATATAAGAAAAAATTAGTATATCGGCGGAAATATAAATTAGCTAACTCACATCAATCTAAATATTTCTATATACATACATATGTATGTTTAAAATTGGCTGTTGCGGTAATAATTCATTTTATTTCTATAAGTATATTGTTCAGAAAAAAGAAAAATCATAAATGAGAAATGCAAATTAAAATTTATTACATGGTTTTTTGTTACAATTATTATCCTAAATTTTGCTACTTTAATATTTATTCAGTTAACCCTCTAGAGTATGTCTACGACATCGTCTTATCATTAAAAATTTTTTTTTTGCTTATTTTACTCAAAAATATCTTATAAGTGAAAAATTCATCGATATATAAACGGTTAAAAGTAGTATACTACAATGTTCAATGCTACGTGCATTTCCATCTGCCAATTCTTAAATGTAACTAATTTGTAGAGATCCTGAATTTATTTCGAATTCATCTTGAATTTAATTTTAAAGTAAACATTGCAAAACTCGCCTGTAGAAGGTTAGACGTTGTAAAAATATAATTTTGACAATAAAAATAAAGCTAACTGTGAAAAACTTCATAAACGGCGATGTAATTTTATTAAGCGAAAAATTCGATCGAATAATATCTTCTTAGCCGATAAAATTCGTTCCGTTGCACTTGTCAGTTAACAATTTCGCAAAATTGTATCGATGTCGTTGCGATCTCTCAAGAACGTATCCACGATGTCGATTAGATTTTTCGCGCTAATGGAGCTCTTCCAGGGACTGCCATGGCGGGCTAAGTATTAAAATGTTCAGGGATGCACCAGGGAGATGGCTCGGAAAAAAGTGCAAAGTACAAAACGTTTTTGCATTATCCGACGCTGCTCCGAAGTTCTTATCGCGGTTCACCGTGCAATTACGCAAATGCGCCTTACCGGCGACATCGACATGTATGGTAGCCAGTATACACAGCACATACAAGGTGTGCTAAAAGGCTTGGATTTTCAAAAGTATTCTGAGGAACTTGCCCTTAAATTTCTTTTTCTTATTAAAAATTCGGCCGCAGAATCTCTCAAAGTTAAATAAAAATGCATCCTTAAATAAAAAGAAAAATTCATAAAATTTTATAAAAAATTTAACAAAAAAGCAACCTAGTTCTCCTGAAAAAATTTAACAAAAATTCTGCAATTGAAAAAAGAACATGTTTCTTAATATATAAGATAGATGAAAATTATTTATTTTTTTAATTTTTAAAAGTGCGCAAGTAAGTAATTAAGTCAGTAATATTATAAAATATATAAAATTAATGAGCGAAATAATCAGTTTTCTTGTGTGTGAGATACATAGATAATTACATAGAACTTACATAAAACATGAAAGAAAAATTATTTGTGTGTATTTAAATGTTACATATCGTTCTATAATAAAAAAAAAGTCTTTATATCAGACATTAGAGAACAAAAAAACTAATTTAAGTAATTAAAATTATAATCGTGAAATGTTTCGTACATATATTATATTTCTGCATTGTCGAGACAAAAAGGACAACGTCACTTCCGTTGAACTGATTTCAACGAGCGATTCTAGCACTGATTCGCTCACGCATTGCGCATTTTGTCACTTCGCGATTTACAATGTGATATATACGTCCGATAATGAAATCAACCAATGATGTCACTAACGACACGCAATCGACGCGACGATAGCACGATTTCGCTTTTCGCTTTATCGACAATTTAATTAATTCACTCGTCCCCGTTCGACCTTTACACATCATTCATTTAATGTCGATCGGCAATTATTTTAATTTCACGATAGATTGATATTCGCTTTAAAAAAAACAGTGAATGTGACATCCACTTTTGAAGGAAGTAATACGAGGAATCCTAATTACTCCGTGATAGTATAATCTTTTTAACAAGCGGTATAATATATAGCTTACCTTTTAATTAGCAAATGAAATATTTCTGCTTTTAACTCAGTTATGTGCTGAGTAAAATTCAATAAAAAACATCTGTTTTATTTAATATATTATCTGATATTTCTTGTACCTTTTATTTAATATAATATTTGGTATTTCTTGAGATATTAATATATTAAATTTCATTTAAATGATTACAAAAGCGAAATTAATAATAAAATTAACGCTGTAAAAATCGCTATCGTTATTTTTCCGTTAAATGCCACTCAAAAATGTCTAATTCGATTCTAATAAAGTACTTTACGCTTAATATTCCTACTCACGTAAATGCGGCGATTAAATCAATTTCAGAAGCTGTCATGGAATATCTGAATTTAATTGGAATCGTGAAACTAAACTGTTAATCTTAATCCAATTCTCTTCATATTCACAGGGATGGATGTAATATGGCGCTATGTTCTATTAAAGATGGATGGCGCAGCGATTTATTGTTACAATTAATAGAACACAGAAGGATCGTGAAAAATATAACAAAGTTTCAATAATCCGATATTCATAAAATATCTCCACATTAAATAACACAGAAATAAACGCGTATCATTTTCAATAGTATAAAATTTTATTATTAATTCCGCTTACGTACTAAAACGTTGTGAAATTATAATCTTCAGCTTTTTACGTAAAAAGGTCAAATTCAAATGGAAGCCCGCAAACATTTCATGAAAAGTCACATTATTGTTTTCGCGCGAATGCTCGAGATATTATATTCATTAATCCAAACTGAGGTATTACCCACTGATTAACATATTGCAATTAATGTATTACAGCCATTATTAGTGTGTCATATTATTATATGCAACATCT